CACTGAGATATCTTTCCAGTCATTTCTGTATTTTATTTATAGAATTGTCTCTTCGACCATTTTTAAAGGCAAGAGCTCTATAAGATCACTATGTAGCCCAGACTGTCCTAGAACTTATAGAGATCTGCCTGTAAAATTGATTTGTCTTTTTTGTTGAGTTTAAGTTTCTCATTAGATATGTGGTTTGCAGGTATTTTCTCATTCTGTAGGTGGTCTTTTCATATTCTCGTTAATATCTTTGATGCACAAAAGCTTTTAATTTTGATGATATATTGTTTACTTTTCCTTTAGTGATTGCATTAAAAAACTGAAATCTAAGGATATGAAATTTTAGATGTGCTTATATCTATTTAATTGAATACCAGTATAATTTTAGCTCTTCTATTTATTGGGTACTTGATCTATTTTGAGTTAATGTTTGTATGATTTTTTCTATAGTGTAATATAGGGGTCTAACCTTATTTTCATTTTTAATTAATTAATTAATTAATGTGCATGTGTCTATGCACCACATACATGCCGTCCACACAGAGGCTAAAAGGAAGCATTGGATCCTCTGGAATGGGAAATATAGATGGTTGCTCTGAAACTCACAGAGGTCCACCTGCCACTGCCTCCCTAGTGCTGAGATTAAAGGTGTGCTCCACCATGCCCATCTGCACCTTATTTCTTGAGACATTGCCTCTTACTGAACTTGGTGTTCAGTAGTTGGCTAGACTGGCTAGCCAGCAAGCTTCAGGGATACCCCTATACCCTATACATGTTTGCATTTGTACAGCTATGCCTGACTTTTTATATGGGTGTTGAAGATCTGAAGTAGGACTATCCTTTTATTTCCATGGCAGGCTCTATATTTACAATACGAAGTGTCAAGCCTCTGCTTTTGGTTTCTTTTAGACTGGATCTCAAATAGCCTAGGCTGCATTCCAACTCAACTTTGACTAAGGATTTGACCCGGTTTCCACATCCTAAGTGCTGGGATTACAGTCATGAGCCACTACATCTGGCTCTTATTTTCATTCTTTTGCATATAAATATCCAATTATACTAGTACCTTTTGTTGAACAGACAATTCTTTCTTCCACTTGCTTGTATTGGCACCTTTGTTGAAAATCACTTGGCCATAGATGTGTGTTTGGGGATGTGGGGGTGTGAGGGTGTTGAATTTCATTAATTTTTGTCCTTTGGGCTTTGTGCCTGTCTTTATGCCAGTACCAAATTGTATTGATTATTACAACTGTATAATAAAATTTGAAATCAGAAAGTCCAAGTCTTCATTTCAGTACTCTTTTCTATATTGAAACCCCTTGTGCTGCCATATTGATTTTAAGATCAACTTTTCCATTCCTAGATATGGGGAAACCATTGGAATTTTGATAGAGGTTGCATAGAATCTGAAATTTATCCCCAAGTATTTTACTTATTCATTTATTAATCTTCATGCTTTTGTAACTGAAATTGATCTCTTAATTTCTGTTTGAGATTGTTTGTAGTATATAGCAATACTCCTGTTTATTTTTAATTATGGTAAAAGTTATATAACAAAATTTACCATTTTGAGTTGAGTGTACAGTTCAGTGATACTAATTGCATTCTCAGTGTTATGAAAACAGCACCATTGTCTGTTTAAAATATTTTTTCATTAGCCTAAATAGACACTTGGAGCTAACTAAGCACTATCTCCCATATTTTCCCCACTTCACCCCAGCACTTAGTAATTTCAAGCTTCTTTTCCTTTTCTGTGACTTTTGCTTATTGTAGATATTTTGTGTTGCTGGAATAGTACAATATTTATCCTTTTTACCTGGCTTCTTCTATTAGACCATATTTTGGGGTTTCATCCATGTTGTACATATGAGAACTGCTTTCTTGTAGTGTTGCATTGTATTATGTATGTGTACGTATTGTATATGTATATGTCTCATATGTGCCTTACATTTTCCAGTTCATACGTTTGCTGATGGACACTTAAGTTGTTTCCATCGTTGGCTATTATGAAAACTGCTTTACATACATTTTCACAGTACTTTGGGATGTATACCTAGAAGCAGAATTCCTGGGTTATATGGTAACTACACGTTTAACACTTTGAGACTTGCTGGGTTTTGTGTTTTGATCTTATTTTCTGCAACTTTCCTAACTTTATTAGCTTTAACATTTTTTTTGTTTTTTAGAGTCTTTAGGATTTTCATCTTTAAAATCGGATAGTTTTCCTTATTCATTTCCAAGTTGGATGTTTCTATTTCTTTGTCTAGCCCAATTGATCTAGCTAGAACTTCAAGTACAAAGTTGTGAAAGTGACCAAAACAGGTGGTCTTGTCTTGTTCCCGATGTTCAGAGAAAGGCTTTCCATTACCATTACCTTTCCAGTGCATGATGTTAGACAATGGTGATCAAAAATAGCCTTAACCAGGCATGGCGGTGAATGCTTGTAGTCCAGTTCACTCAAGGCCCAGCTACTCTGGAGGTCAAGGTGAAAGGATCTTTTGAGTTTCAGACCAGCCTTGATAACATAGCAAGATCCTTCTTTAAAAAAGCCTTTTATCAGGCAGAAGAATTCGTATTCTGTGTCTCTTCTCTGTGAGCAATAGTGGGGGGAGGAAGTGAAAGCACAGTGCTTTCTTATCACAACCAGCTCCTTCAAGGAGCTTTTCCTGTTGCTGGAAGCCTTTGAGAAGTTACAAAGTTGATCCCCCTCCTTTCTTTCTATACATTCTTATTTCTTTTTGAGGTATAGTGTCTTACTGTCTATCCCAAGCTCACCTTAAACTCAGAGAGCCATCTGCCTACGTTTTCCCTCTCAAGTGCTGGGATGAAAGGCATACTTTTGAGTTTCTAATATATTAATCATAGTTTTGGTTTTGTTTGACATAGTGTTTCATTATGTAGATTTGGTTGGCCTTAAATTAGTGGTCCTCCTGCGTCAACCTTCTGAGTGCCCAGATTACAGGCATGTACCATAATACCTGGTTTATTCATAGTTACTTTAAATTCCTTATGTGATAATCCTCAAGTCTGTGCCTCATCTTCATCTGGTTCTGATACTTCTTTTTCTATTCAGATAGTTTTTCTTCCCTTTTTGCATGCCTTGTGGTGCGCACACGCACTGGATATGGTATATTGGGTAATACAAACTGAAATAAATAGTCCTTTAGTAAAGAGTTTATGTTCCTCAGCCAGGAACCGAGATGTTAAAATTTTTTCATCCATCCATTTATTCATTCATTCATTCAGTCATTCATCCACTTTGTATATGTGCATGCATGCAAGTGTGTGGCTGCACATGTTGAGGTCAGAAGGCAGTTTGCAGGGATTGAACTTTCCTTCAAACATGTGAGTTCAGGCTGGAGAGATGGCTCAGCAGTTAAGAGCACTAGCTACTCTTCCAGGGGACCCTGGGTCAGTACCCAGCACCCACGTGGCAATTCACAACTGGCTGTAACTCCAGTTCCAGAGGATCTGACACTCACACAGACATACATGCAGGCAAAACACCATTGCACATAAAGTAAATAATTAAAAGAACATGTGAGTTCTGGGAATGTGACTTGGGTTCTCAGGGTTAGCAGCAACCACCCTTACCTGCTGAGCTATGCCACTTCCCTGGCCCATTCCTAAAAATTTAGTTACTACTGCAGTGTCTCTCAACCTTCCTAATACTGTGACCCTTTAATATAGTTCCTCATGTTGTGCTGACCCCCAACCATAAAATGATTTTCATTGCTGCTTCGTAACTGTAATTTTGCTACTGGTATGAATCATGTGATATGCAGGACATCTGATATGCAGCACCCGAAAGGGTGGAGATCCACAGCACTGCTCTCGTGCTTTTTGTTTGTTTTTTCTACCCTTCGACCCTTTCCTTTCCCTAAGAACTTTAGAGGCAGGCGAATCTCTGTGAGTTCGAGGCCGGGCTGGACCGACAGCCTCCAAAACAATACAGAGAAACCATGTATCGTAAAAACCAAAAAAAAAAAACACTTTAATTAGATGTCTTGCTTGCATTACTTTTTGGTGATGATCCATTGTTCTGTACTGGATTCCTGTTGAAATGGTGGAAAATAATAAGATGGAGAAAGTGCTTTGTAATCTAGGACTTCAGTTGGGCACAAGTCCTTGGCTGTATTGTTAGGGCTGCTGCTTCTTTTTCCTCCTTGAGTTAGATGAAACAAGGAACACGTGGACTAGAGCTAATTAATTCCCCTTCTTCCAGGGTATGTAAGCTTCTGATATATTTTGTTGTGGGTGTTAGCCTTTGTTACTGAAGAACATTCTGACTTACTTGAACTGGGTCATATGGCTGTTTGAGAGGCTGAGGCAGGAGAGTTCAAGCACAAGGTGGGTCTGGGCGACAAGAGTGAATTTACTTGAAAACTGTTACTTTCTCCAGTATGTATTTCAAAGATGCTTTCATTCTCTTTACCAAAGGGGAGTTTTGTGGGTTTTTCTTTTCTTTTCTTTTCTCTTCTTTTTTTTGACAGGGTCTCTGTGTAGCTCTAGCTGGCTGTCCTGGAACCCCAAGGCTGGCCTAAAACTGCCTCTGTCTCTCAAGTGCTGGCATTAAAGGCAGGTACCACCATGCCTAGCAAGGAAGAACTTCTTTTTTATATAAATTTTCATTTAAATTAGAAACAATCTTATTTTATATATCAATCCCAGTTCCCTCTCCCTCCCATCCTCCCATCCTCCCACCAGCTCCCCATCCCATCCCCCTTCTGCTCCCCAGGGACATCGAGGCCTCTCGTGGGGAATCATAAAAGTCTGTCACATCATTTGGGGCAGGACCTAGGCCCTCTCCCATGTATCTAGGGTGAGGGAGTATCCCTGCATGGGTCATGGGCTCCCAAAGTCCATTCGTGCAGAACTTGTTATTGGCTCTTACTTTTGGGAATGTTTCAGAATGGTTACATTGCCTCTCCTACGAAGGGGAGGAGACTTCAGAATCAGGGTGGTGAGATTGCTGGAGGCAAAGCTCAGGAGTAGGCGGATCTCTTCTCCTTGGAACACTCACAGCACAAGCTTGTCTCACTCAGCATTTTCAGGTTTACTTTCTTTGCTAATACTTTCCCTTAGCACCTTGTGCCTCAGGTAAGTGTCTTGGGTGTGATTGCATGTATTTGCCCATCTAGAGATAGGGGGCTATTTTGTCCCATGCCTTCAGCTCTCTGGTGGGTTGGAGCAGACTTGCCAATTTTAAATTTGTTAGGGTTTTTCTTGCTGTAATGATAGGAATGATGATATATCTAAGCACTGCATGTGTTGGAGCTGAAACTGGAAGTCCTACGTTTATATTTTAAAATTAGAAAGATCTTGTCCAGTTTAAAAATAATGTTCTGCAAGAGGGTTTTCAACTTTCCTGTGAACCATTTGCTTAGCTAAGATGACTCATCCTCAGTTATTTTCATCCTTTAGAATCTTAGATCTGCATTTTCATATGTTTAGTAAGAACTTTTTCAGAACAAAATATGTGAAATGCTTAAGAACTTCATATAGTTCTTGAAATTTGCTAAGAACTGTACCCTGAATTAATTAAAATATTATGACTCTTGATTCCCCCCAGCATTGTTTTTTGATTTGTCAGCTACCTTATATAGAATATGCTAAAATAGTTCTGGGGACTTTTCTTTACTATTTCACCCTATTTGTTTTCGAAAAGTAACTCAATTTCTAAGGCACTTCCAAATCTCTAGAGACTAAGCCCTGTTTAAATGTGACAAATGAATGAGAATAAATGTGGAAATCTTATACTGCCAATGACTTGTTTTCAATTAGCCTTGAGGAATGAACTAATTATAAACTCTAGATCTTTGTGACTTTAGCTTAATAGGACTACTTTTATAATCTGTGCAACAGAGCACAGTTCATCTAAAATGTGTTATTTATCCAGCTGAGAAAGTACTTTGTGTACTTTGAAGCCTTATAATTTGATAACTTGCTAACAATTTTAATTTACAGGAGCTTCAGTTCTTATTCTTGGATAACAGTAGCAACCAATCTTGGATGATTGACACGCTGTAAATTTCATTAACCCTGCCCCTTTTCTAGGGTTCATTTTAAATTTTAGTTTTCCCACAGAAAATACTGTGAGGAATGACCATTAAACCAAGAAACAAATTAGTTGTATAATGTCTAAAATTGATTATTAATTGGCAGAGTCTTACTGTGTTTGTGTTAAGAAATTTTTCCCTGTCTTATTATACCCAGTTGTTTACATGACTATCTGTATTTTGGAAAAAATAATTTTTGAAGGAGGTAAATTAAAATGTTAAGCATGATGAATATAATTTTTAACTCAGCAGATAAAATTACTTTAAAAATGATTTGCTGCATTGAGGGTAGTTAAAATATTAGTTATTTGTTATATAAAAATTATCTGCGGCCCATTCATGGTGAGAATCATTAATTATTCCCTAAATTGGAGGCAGAAAACCCTGCACTCTGCTTTTGCTTTGAGGACTTTGTCACAAAGAAATAGGGGCTCTAGGGAGGAAATGGTTGAAGGCTAGCAAGTCTTCAGAACTGCTCGGCTCATATTTTGCCTCATACTAATTTCCACCCATGCTAGGGGATGGTATCAATGCACCTCCTGAAAATGCCTTCATCTTAAGCTCTTCATATAGCATAATTACATCCTCCTAACTGCTGTGCCATCTCTCAAGGTCCCCATTGTTCCTGATATCCTCTTCACATTTTGTTTCCACCAAAACTCACTTGCACATTATTAGCACAGAGTCCCCATTCTTTTACTGACCTCCATGTTCCTTGCTCTAATACTGTCCTACTTGTCCTGCCAGCCTTCCTGCTTGCCCTGCAAGCCTTAGACAGCCATTTGTAATCTCTTCCATGGCCTTGGTCTTGTCCTAGTTTCACAGTTTCGGCATCCAGGCTTTTCTGCTACTAAGAGATAGCTGACATAACTGTTCTGTGACTCTCATCCCTTACACTACCCATTTCCTCAACAGCTACCTCAACTGCCTGCCTTTTAATTCTTTGAATATAGCAAGTTCTTTACCTTTCAAATATCTGCTGTTTCTTTCACATCTGGCAATAATTTTCATATTTCTTGTCTGACTATCTCTAATCAGTCTGGCTGGGGCTTTCTTACCTTACTCTTTGTCAGTGCCTCCTGGTTGTTATCTTCTCAGCATCTATTTCCATTTGCAACTATTGTATATTCTCTTGCTCACTGAGACATCCTTTGATTATAAGATATCACACACACACACACACACACACACACACACACAGAGCTGTTTCTGAAACTAAGGTGTAAGATATAGCCTACACTGGATTTCTTGATTCCTTTTGGAATTATGAAATGACTTATAATAAATTATATCATATGTTTAATATGATATAATAAATGTTATACTTTTTGAGACAAGCTTTTACTCCTTAGGTCAGGATAACTCAATAGGTATCCCAAGCTGGTCTGGAATTCACTAGGTAGCTGAGATAGGCCTAGAATCTGAGTGTCCCTTCTACTTACTTTAGTCTTCTGAAGGCTGGAGATTACTGTCATGTACCAGCAAAACACCATATTTGAAATGATCTATTTTTAGCAGTTGATTGTATGTTCCACAACTATATTCTGTTTTATTCACCAGTAAGAGTCCATGCTTATTATAGTACATTTCACCTAGCAGACAATAAATAATGGATGAATGAATATCATTGTCTCTCTTTGAGAAATGTTGGTCCAACTTCTGAAGCTGCATCAATCCGTGTATGTGTATGAATTGTTAATATGCCAAAGAATTGACTCATTATTTTTAGAGATTGCTTTATACTGAAATGAGGAAGACCTTTAAATTTATCTGTTTTCCCATTTATGTAACTTGTTTCATTATAGATGCACATATGTTCTGGTGTAGGAACACTTTCCACTTACAAAAATGAATTCACATAAACTTTTACCTGGTGTCAGCAATTTTCTTTTATTAGGGGAAGGCTTGAGGAAGGTACCAAACAGCAGCAGGCTTTTTAAACTTTAGGCAGGTGTGACTCTTGAGCTTACCTTTTCATTTACTTCATCCTCCAAGGCGTGCAATCATTTGGCGTGCCTACTTCCCATTTAAGCACAAGAACAACGAAAGCTCAACATGAGTGACTGGAGTGCCTTAGACCGGCTCCTACAAAAGGTCCAACCGTACTCCACAACTGGAGGAAAGGTATGGCTCAAGGTCCTTTTCATCTTCCGAATCCTGCTCCTGGGGACTGCCATCGAATCAGCCTGGAGTGATGAGCAGCTTAAGTTCCATTGCAACACTCAGCAGCCTGGTTGTGAAAATGTCTGCTATGACCAAGCTTTCCCGATCTCTCATGTGCGCCTCTGGGTCCTACAGATCATATTCGTGTGTGTGCCTACACTCTTATACCTGGCACATGTGTTTTATGAGATTCGTCAGAAAGAGAGATCAGACAAGCCAGAAAAGGAACTTGGAGTTGCTCATTTTAATGGCGCCAGTGTGGAAACGCACTTGCAGAAAACCGAAGTAAAGAAGTCCAAGTGTGGCAGTGAGGGACACGGTAAGGTGAAGATAAGAGGAAGGTTGCTGATAACCTACATACTCAGTATTTTCTTCAAGGCCATCTTTGAGGTGGCCTTCTTGGTGATCCAGTGGTGCATTTATGGATTTACCCTGAAGGAAGTTTACATTTGTGAATCTTCTCCTTGCCCGCACCAGGTGGACTGCTTCCTCTCCCGTCCCACAGAGAAAACCATCTTCATCCTCTTCATGCTGGTTGTGTCCTTGGTGTCTTTAGTCTTGAATGTCATTGAGCTGTTCTATGTCTTATTTAAGGCCATTAAGAATTATGTGAGAGATAAGGATGAGGCTTACTCTGGTACAACTGATCTGCAGAGCCTTTCCCATGTCTCATCACCAAGTGTTCTCCCTGCCACGTTTCTTAACGATCAGGTGGTTTCTGAGGATCATTCTTCAGTCTATATTTAAAGTGAGGAAAATCATGTCAGTTACAGTACATAACAAACTGAAAGAGGTAAGGACAGGCAGGAAGTAACCTTCTGGCTTGCACTCAGCCTTTTCTTCACACTGATGATAAGCAGAATTCTCATAGGGTTTGGGTGGAGAGAAAAGCAAAACAAAGATACTAAACACTAACATAGAGTAGCAGCTAGCCAGCAGTACTACTGGTAATGATAACAGCAGCCTGATACTGTGATTTGTGCTTGAATACATTGTGATTTTTCTTAGTTGCTAAAGAGAATCAAAGTATAGTAGAAAATGTACCCAAGCTTCAGTACAGATGATGCTCAATGGCCTCAATTGTGACAACTAGAAAATACAAAGACATTAGACCACATAAGTCTGAGACAGGAAGTGGAAGAAACTTGTAACCAAGACATGTGTTAGTATTTAAAGTGCTTGACTCTGGAGGGTTAGGTATCTAGCTCAGTGGTACATGATTTGTCTAGCGTTTGTGAGACCTCAAGTAGCATATGGATAAAGAAATAGTAACTTGAACAAATGAACTAAATAAATAAAGTGGTTGACTCAAAGAACTTTTAGTCCAAATTTAACTTGTACTAGGCAATGTAAAAGGACCTATCCTCTCCCATATTGTCCTAGAATGGTTCTGTGTATGGGGAAGAGTGATTTATTATTTGTCTGTAGAAGCAGACACAGTGTAAATTTACAAACCTACATTCTAAAATAATACAAATATGCCATTGAAAGTTGAGCCTTTCTCTTGGATCTTATTGTTTGATCCCATATTATGTTTATACTATTTAATTCCTTATGTAAAAGTAAATTATCCTTTCCCTTAAAATGCATCCCCCAATTTTATTGAATAATATGTAATAGTTCTGTTAATTGTAATGAGTTTTCTTTTTCTCTTGTATACTCTAGCAGCAATCCTATTGCTGACACAATTTATTTTTCCTTTTCAAGATAGAGTCAGAGCCCTGAAATGAAACAATTGTACTGAAAATAGCACTTGTGAACACTGCAAACTTAAAGAAATGCTTAGAGGTGAACTATGAAATGTCCTACATGAATCTGGCAATATTGGTTATTCTTGGCTTTGTTCTATATAATGCATATTAATTCAGATGTTACCTTCTGCTGTGATTTTTGCAGTCTCCTGGATGACTGACATTTTTGATGTTCATATTAAGAGTTTATTTGGAAAGCAGGAGAGGGTGATGGAGGTTTGTGAAATACCTGTGTAATTGATTTGGAACATATAAAATAAATGCTAACCATTTCTTCTAATGCCTTTTAAAATATTCCACAGGTAATTGAAAAATTGACTTTTGTTCTTGTTCCACACACAATTTTATCCAAGAAATATTAATTTGCTTATCATTTGATATTAAACTGCTATCATGTTCAGCTTTGTTTCATGCAATACAGGCCTATCATTTCTTATTCTAGAGAATTCTTTATTCAATAAAGTTCTGAGAGAGTGGCTCATGTGTATTCCTCCTCTAATAGCTTCTGACTGATCGTTTGAACTCTTCATTGGTGCATCTTAATTTAAGCAAACTAAGCTGGGTGTGGTGGCTCCTGAAGGCCACGGCAATTGCAGAGTGTTCTAAGCTAGCCTAGACTACAGTGTGAAACACTTTCCCACCTCCTGCCCATGAACCAAAATACACTGTATTCACAGTTTTTGAAATTCAGGTGGAGTGACTCTATGACATGATTCTAGGATCAGCAATTCTTAATTTTATGTAATAGAATCATGGATATATCCACGACTTCCAGATATGCAAAAAGAATGCAGTTGTTTTTTCCCTTCCTTTTTAAGGGATGTACTCTCATCTTCCCATCCTAGGCAACTGAGGAAAATGGAGAACACAGGAACTGACTATCAAACCTGTAGTTTATAACCTCTGCTTCTGACAATTGACACAGTCTCATTTGGAAAACCTAGCCTCCTAGTTAAATGATGTGCTTCAGTATCTCTTTTTAGAAGTGGTCTGGGAAGATTAATCAGTTATTTAGTAATGGGTGCTTGTGCCTTTGGACACCGCAAAACTTCTGAAGCCTTGGAATCAGATTGGGCACTACCACTGCTACCTCCTTATACTTGTTTCATTAATTTTCACATAAAGCTTGCTTGTTTTCTTTACACTTTTTACTCTGATATAATTGCAGATTCAAACATAATTGTAAGAAATAACAGGTTCTATATAGCCGGACGTTGGTGGCGCACGCCTTTAATCCCAGCACTTAGGAGGCAGAGGCAGGCAGATCTCTGTGAGTTTGAGACGAGCCTGGTCTACCAAGCGAATTCCAGGACAGAGTCCAAAACAATACAGAGAAACCCTATCTCGAAAAAACAAACAAAAAAGAAAGAACAGGTTCTGTATATCATTATATACAATAGCAACTTTTTTGGAGACAGGATCTCTCTATATAGCCCTGTTTGATTTGGAATTTGCCTATATTGATAAGACTGGCTTTGAACTCGCAGAGATCCACCTGATTTTGCATCCATAGTGTTGGGATTAAAAGTGTGTACTATCACATCTGGCCAAAGAAGTGTTTTTAAGAATGCTATAGAATTGTTGTTTCTTTGTTTATAAGAACTGTTTTCCTTTGGAGGTCATTTCTGTTTGATTTTGGTTTGCAAAAGCATGTTGGTTAACTCAAAAAGATAAAAGCTATGTGTTCTCTCTCTAAAAAAAAAAGAATGCTATAGAACCAGGTGTCATGTATCCCAGTATGGTCTTGAAGCTGTAATGCTTTACTATGAAGCTGAAGATGATCTTGAACTTCTGATCCTCTTGTCTTTACCTCCTTAGTGCTGATATTACAAGCGTGTACCAGCATGCATGATTTATGCAGTGCTGCAGATTATACCCATGGCTTTGTGCATGCCAAGCAAGCACTCTGCCACTGAGCTACACCACCAACTTTTACTGTTTACTTTTTGTTTGCGTTTTAAAACAGGATCCCTTGTAGCCCCCTGCTGGTCTTGAACTCAATATATGTAGTTAAGGGTGACTTTGAACTTCTGATTTTTTTCTGCTTCTACCTCCCATTTACTAGAATTAGAAATGTGCACCATTATACCTGTTAACTTTTAGCATAATTTCATAGGTAGAAAATTGACATTGACATAATCCATTAACCTTCAGATTTCACCAATTTTATATACACTCATTATGTTTAGTTATGTATAATTTTATAGTTTGTGTAGAGTTGTTTATAACTTGCCTAGAGTTGTGTGCCCACTATAGTCAAAATACACAGTAGTTTTAGCAGTACTATCCTTTCATCGTCATAGCCATATCTTTTCCTTATCCCTGGCCCTTGGAAACTCCTAATCTTTACTTAACCAGTATAATTTTGTCATTTCAATGATGCGATTTAAACAAATTATATAGGCTATAATACTTTTTAAGTTGTTGGTTTCATTTTGTTGTTGCTTGTGTGTACTATCTGTGGTATGTGTGTATATAGATGTGCCTGCCTGTGCAAGCACATGTAGAGGCCAGAGGTTGATACCAACTGGAGAACCTGGGAGGAATGAGGTTATCCTTTCTGGGCCAGAGCTAGGAGTGTGTATCTCTCTCTATGTGTGTCTGTGTCTATGTGTTATAATAAAGATCCCCAAATAAAGTCTATAAGCAACACTTCAAAAATCATTTTTGAAATAGAGTCTGTATATCTGTGTGGCTCAGTTTACCTTGAATGTACTGGGTGGCACATAGTGGCTTCAAACTCATAATCCTTTTGCCCCAGCCTCCCAAATTATGGAATTACAGGTGTAGCATATCTGGCTATAAGGAATATTTTATGTGATAATATTAACTTATTCTTCAAACTTTTATCAGGCAACTTCAGTCGACCCTTGACTATTGATAGTCCTCGCTTGGAAGTAGCTCATAGTTTTTTGAAGTTCAGACACCTGTGAAATAAATTTAATTTTTTTCCTTGATCCTAGTGAACAACTATTGTTTCCTTCTTTCTGGTTTTTGTGTCATGGTTGAACTTTCTGGTTTGCTTGTGTCCTGAGCTGGTAATTAACTTTCAATCTGCTTTCTTACTTTCCCAAGTGTTAATATTACAGGCATGCACTGCCACATTCAGTTTACAGATCTATATTTTTAAAATATAACTGTCGAAAACAATACAGAGAAACCCTGTCTCGAAAAACCTATATGTATATATAACTAAGTTTGCTCTCCCTGGCTTGTGATGTTATTGAAGCTCTGTCCTTTCTTATTGGTTGGCAAGGCATTGGACTAAGGGGTCTTGTGCTTAGTGACATGTAGTTATCTTGGTTATCATTATGTTTTACTTGGGTTCCCATTAAGCCCTTTGTGAGAGCTGCTGTCTAGCAAACAGAACATCACTAGCTTCAGCTCCTCAGGCCATGTGCTTAGAGATCAGATGGGAAAAGTCTGTGCAAGTACCTCCAATCAGTAGTGCTAGAGCTCTACCATGGTGCACAGGTATGGTGTGCAAGTGTTATAGCCCAATGGCCTGCTAGTCCTGGTGCAGCTCTTAATTCTGTGGTCTGTTGGACAGAGATGTTCAGTTCCACTGCCGTAGTGAGGCTTAGCTTACAAATAACAGCAAGGGCTAGCAGTCTCCCTAAGGGGAAGAGGACCCAGACTTTAGGATGTAGCCAGGTCCTATGGACACACTTGGGAACTCACTTCTGCTGTTTGGGAATGCTTACAAGCAGAGTATTTTATGTAACTTAGGTCATTTAATACTAATAGTACCCCCAGGAATATGAACCATCAATTAGACCCTGTTTCCTTCCTTCCTTCCTTCCTCCCTCCCTCCCTCCCTCCCTCCCTCCCTCCCTCCCTCCCTCCCTCCCTCCCTCCCTCCCTCCCTCCCTCCCTCTCCCCCTCTTTCTTTCTCTGTTTTAGCTTTTTGAGGCAGGATTTCTCTGTGTAGCCTCAGCTATCCTAGAACTCACTTTGTAGACCAGGCTGACCTTGAACTCACTAGATATCTGCCTTCCCCTGCCTCCTGACTGCTAAGATTAAATCCATGTGCGACCACCACCCAGTTGGACCCAGTTTTCATAACAAGCAAATTGAGGTACCAAGAGGCAAGTAATGCCCCTCAGACCCCTCTGTTGAGTAGTATGTGCTAGAGCCAGGATTTAAACTCCTACAGTCTGAAATCAGGAGGGATAGATATGTGTGAAAGAAGAGGCCACACAGTCGACTATTGTTAAAGAATGTTTCCAATGAGAAAGATTGGGCTTGTTTTTCCCCAACCTCCCAGGAAACCTTGGCAGCCTTAGTAGGAGAAAGGACCTGGTTTGTTTTGTAAGTAGAAAACAAAATTTTGTTAGAAATCTGATGTGTGACATATGGTTTCTGACATGAATATTTATTCTGTATATTTCTTTATATCTTCTGATCAATTCTAATACTTTAGCTTCATTTTTGTCCAAATACAGAATAACTAGAAGGATATAATTCAAAGCCAGTATGTTAATATAATCAGTGCTGATTTTAGACTCTTACTTAAGGACTTCTGTGAAGCAGTTATAAGTCAGCCATGTTCCTCTGTTAGAAAAGATCCATGCTTCCCTTTATCTTGTCTTTTTACCAAAATATTTCATTTTCCCCCATTTACATACAACTCCATGTACTCAGTACTATGTCTTAATAATTTGTTCTATGCCACATAAATACAGAGTACTGAATATAAAATTTCTACTGTTTTGTTAAGAAATAATGTATACTTTTCTCCTAAAGAAATCTGTTAATTTACAGTTTTTCCAAAATTTCTCATTTTTCTCTTAAATCTCTTGAAGCACTTAGCCCATTGTGATATCTGAAGGACGTATTTTTCAAATTCATATGACTTCATTGACCACACAGTTTGAATGTAATTTCTTGATGTAAGGAGAGACTTTTGTCCTAGTTAAAGACAAACCACAAGAATGAACCTTAAAACTTCAAATTAATTCATTAAGCAGACACTTTTCTGTGCATTTATGACAAAGGACATGAAGGGCATGATCAGCATCTGTAGAGAGCTTACTATTTGGGAGGAAAAGGCTCAAACAATACAGTCATGGCTTGTGCTCTGTGTCCTTGAGGAATTCAGTCTGCCAGAGAATGAACAAAAAAGAAGTTTTTGTTTTTAAGCTTAGATTTAGTTTAACAAAGTAATATTTCAGTCTACTTTTTCAGTGTTTTAGTTAAATTTTCTTGCCTTATTTCTTTGTTCATGGTGTCCTTTTTCTCATTTCTTCAGCCTGGACTACAAAGTAGGCCTCTGTCTCAAAAAAAGCAAAACAAAATAACAACAAAACTGGCATGTCCAGCTGGTCCATATCATCCTTTTAGAAGGCCTTTCTGCTAGGCATTGTGGTACAGATCTGGTAAAATAAGGCTCCTCTTCTCATAAATGTTAATTGTTGTCTAGTTTAGGAATAAGGCCACATCTCAGTCA